CGAGCAGGGAGCCTGATGCGGGACTCGATCCCGGGACTCCAGGATCATGACCTGAGCCGAAGGCAGTCGCTTAACCAACTGAGCCACCCAGGCGCCCTCCTATTAGATTTTTTTTGTTGTCTCAGCTTAAATAGCTATAAAATGTAGCACATTTAAATTTTTAGACTGCTTTAGAAATAGCAACCATATAAGATATACTTAGCTATAATATGTGGATTTGTATTCATATAGAAATCAAAGTTCCTTAGCACTGAGAATTTTTCTTTAAAAGATGGAGCTGATTTGATATGTATGGCTGATATAAGAATTGTTCTTTTTTTGTAAAATCTTAATAAAATAAGACTATGGAAATTGTGTTTTCCTTTTTCAAATTGGAAAGTATAAACATAATGATTAACTTATTATATGAGTAACAATAAGAGTAATGGAGATTTTTATCATTTTAGATTTTTCCCCCCAGAAATGTTGATACTGCTTTGCAGATGATAGCTGACTATATTAGGTAGAATATCTAGGAAACTTTTAAGTCATTTTATTATCTTTAATTTTATGGATATTCCTTGTTTTTGTAATAAATTTCATGACTGAACGAAGTTACTGTAACTGCCAGCATTCAGCAGTCTAAATTTTTTTCTCCCCTACATTTCTACCATTAGCAAGGAGGAACTAATATGAGCTATGAAGTCTTGGCACTATCCTTTATACAATTCAGAATAAATAGTAATGAAAGTTTTGTATGTAAATCAGATATTTTTAAATTGAGTCATTTTAAATATAGAAATGGAAGCTGTCAATATAAAAGAATATTGTAGTAATTTATTTTCTTCTGAAGCAGAAAAAACCATAAGGCAAGTGTAACAATTAATTTCAGATTTTTGTGCATAGTATAATGTTGATATCTAGAGAAGGCAACATTCTGCTTAAGAGAGGATCAATAATTTATATTTATGGCTCTTGAATAATGTATCATAGGAAAGGTGGTTTCTAATGGTAGTGACCTAAGATGTTCTAACGTCAAAATAACTTCATCATGATAATAGACCTACAGAGTTCAAGTAAAAATATCCTATCTAATTCCACAATTTCCAAAGTGGGAAGTTCATTTTATTCTTTATTTAAAAAGAAGATACAGGGGCACCTGGGTGGCTCAGTCTGTTAAGTGTCTGCCTATGGCTCGGGTCATGATCTCAGGTCCTGGGATTGAGCCCCATGTCAGGTTTTCTGCTCAGCTGGGAGTCTGCTTCTCCCTCACACTCTCCCTCTGCGCTTTCCCTCTCTCTCTCTCTCAAATAAATAAATAAAATCTTTAAAAAAAAAAAAAAGAAAAAATACAAAGTTGGATTTTCCCATTACCATTACATAAATATCATTAAGTTAATAGTGTTTGATATAATCTGGTACTTTTTTACCCAATTTTTTAAAAAGCTGGTATGATTGTACATTTAAGGAATGTTATGATGCAGTAGAATCCTAGACTGGGGGTTGTTCTAACCTGGTTTTGCCAATTAAAAATAAAACTATTGACTCTAGGGCAGATAAAATATATCATCTTTGGCTTTTTTCCTTCCTGCATTTCTAACATAAAAAGGAGACTACCTCTCTAACTTTCCAGGATTTTTGTACAGACCAAAGTAAATAACGTTTGGAAACCATTATGGAAACTCAAAGCATTATAAACAAACAAATAATGATGTACTACTATTTTGTGTAAGACTTCATAGTGTGACTTTTCACGATAGAGAAATTTTATTTTCATTTGTAATGTCTTTACTAGGGACTTTTTCAAGCATTTTACTTTTATTGTCTATTTCCTATTCTCTGCCCCCAGTGGGGTTCTGATTAATCTTTCCTTCGTTAGTGCTTTCTATATGCCAGGCATTATGGTAAGCATTAAGGATTTTAAGTCTCTACCTTTGAGGAACTCATAATCTAGTGGAGAAGAAACATGTATTTTTTAAAAATGACATCATGGTGCCATTATTGATATAAAAGTCACCAAAAATCATCTTTACAAATTAAAAAAAAAAAAAAGTCACCAAAAATCCCCCAAATCATGGTTTAGACAAAAATATAGTTACTTTAATTATCAACAGCAGCGTTGTCAAGTAGAACTTCCTGCAGTGATGGAAATGTAATAGCCAATAACCACATGTGACTTTTGAAGTCTTGAAGTTTGGCTAGTGTGACTGAGGAACTGAATATTTTATTTTACTTAATTTAAATTTAAATAGCCACACATAGACTTAGGTGAGCTGGATTCTTCTCCTTCTGACCTAGGGACTGACATACAGTGCTAATCAGCCATTGCCCAGCTGCACTGAACCATGTGTGGTGAGCATGTTCCCAAATAGGTTACTCAGCCCCTAATGATTTAGAGTTGAAAATATATTGTACAATAATTCTAGTAAGTCTGGCTTTATATACTCAGAATTTAAGTTTGTTTTTTCTTATAATATTGCAGTTTGGACCAGAAAATCCCTTTAGGACACAGCAAATGGCTGCCCCTAGAAATATGCTTTCTGGATATGCTGAACCAGCTCATATCAATGATTTTATGTTTGAACAACAAAGAAGAACTTTTGCCACATACGGTAAGGTGATTAAGATTTACAGTTTCCAGTTTGACACATTTTTGTGTGGATAATCTGTTTTGTCTTCTTGCTTTTTAAATTTATTAATCTAGATTACTTTTAAAAAAGGTAGTGTATTTTCTTAAACACATCTATAAATATTTATACAAATGGGGAGATGAACTAATATTTTTAGCTATCATTCTAAATTTGCTGTGATTTCTGAGTATTAGAAATATTTTGTGGTCTTAAAAACAGAATATTCTCTGTTGTACTTGATAATGAACACTTGTTATTGAATGTCCATCATATGCAGATTGCTGTTGAAGTTAGTAAATGACCAGATAGGGTTAAGAGGTTACTTTTATTTTTAATTCCAGTATAATTAACATACAGCATTATATTAGTTTCAGGTGTACAATGTAGTGATTCAACAATTCTATACATTACTCAGTGCTCATCGTGATAAGTGTACTGTTAATCCCCTTCACCTATTTCACCCATTCCCCCCACCCACCTCCCTTCTGGTAACCATCAGTTTGTTCTCTCTAGTTAAGAGTCTGTTTTTTGCTTTGTCTCTTTTTTTCTTTGTTCATTTCTTTTATTTCTTAAATTCCACATGTGAGTGAAATCAAATGGTATTTGCCTTTCCCTGACCGACCTATTTCACTTGACCTTATACCCCCTAGATCCATCCATGTTGTTGCACATGGCAAGATTTCATTCTCTTTCATGGCTGAGTAATATTCCATTGTATATATATTACATCTTCTTTATCCATATATCTGTCAATGGACACTTGGGCTGCTTCCATAATTTGGCTATTGTAAATAATGCTGCAATAAACATAGGGTTACATATATCTTTTTGAATTAGTGTTTTCATATTCTTTGGGTAAATAGTAGTAGAATTACTGGATCCTATGGTAATTCTATTTTTAATTTTTTGAGGAACTTCCATACTGTTTTCCATAGTGGCTACACCAGTTTGTATTCCCACCAATGGTGGGATCCGAATCCTTGCCAACACCTGTTTCTTGTGTTTTTTATTTTAGCCATTTTGACAGGTGTGATGTGATACTCATTGTGGTTTTGATTTGCATTTCCCTGATGATGAGTGGTGGTAAGCATGTCTTCATGTGTCTGTTGGCCATCTGGATGTCTTCTTTGGAGAAATGTCTATTCATGTCTTTTGCCCATTTTTCATCGGATTATTTGGTTTTTTGGCACATTCTTTTTATCTTGTTATTTACTGATTGACTTTATTCTGTTTCTCAGGTCTTACTTCTGAAATGTTTTCTGTTGTTCACTAAAGGATATCAGGAAATAGAATGGCCACAGATTCATTGTGTTAAATAATTATATCCTATCAGTGGTAGGATTTAAGAAAGTTAACATGCACACAAGATTGGGAATCTCACTAAAAGGAAATGGTCTTTATAATGTCCTTGTTGGTAGTTTGTGGTCACTGATACCAGATTTGCTAATATTTGGTGGTTTTGTAAATTATGTAATTATACATATGCATGACAATATACATTTACATGACATGTATATGTCTTTCTCTTTCTGTAATCTCATCTGTGTCTTTCTCTTTCTATAATCTCATCTGTGTCTTTTTGCCAGTTGTAGTTGTGATCTTCTTTATAGTTACTTATGCTAATGTTTCTTTCCCAAAAAAGTAATTGAAAAAGAAAACTTAGAATTTTACAACAGATTTAATAATCATGTCTTTAGACATCAGTAAATTGTCTTTTTTTTCCTTTAGTTTTCTTTGCAGTCAGAATTCTACCTCTTCCTTTTATTTCTTATAGAATTTAAGTTCTGAAGAAATTTTTCTGCCCTCTCTGCCATTAACTCATTATTATAAGATAGGATTAAAAAAGGTTAAAAAAAATAGTGTCATGTGAAATATGTATTCAGTGATGCTTTTTAGTAACAGTTATTTTCATTAAATAATATAAATAAATCTTAAGCTTTTAGGAAAGAGAGAAGAAAAAGTTACCTATAATCCTACTATCCTAAAATATCTACTCAGCATTATATTTTTATCTCTCCAAGTTATTCTATACTATAATCATTCTGTACTGAAAAATTTGCATCTCACTTTTTATTCAGTGTTCTATCATAAGCATTTTCCAGTGTTAATTTATAATCTCAGTTTGTCATTTTCAAGAACTATGTAGTGGCTGTACCATAATTTACATAATTATTCTAATGTTGGAAAGTTTTTTCTAATTTTTAGGGAGTAATAATGTAAACTGATTCAGTGTAGTTTAGAGTTTTAATACAGATAGTCTTATTTATCACAATATATCCTTGGAAACTGGTTGTAAAAAGATTGTCATATATTAGATCATATTTCACCATGACAAGGTTATAATTGACAGTGTGCCAAAAGCTAAGACTGTATACCTCTGAAATCACCTAGAAGGGTTGGACACTTCCACTCCAAAAAATGGTTATCAATGCCTTGTACCCGTTACTTATATAAGGGATCCCACATAAATATCAAGTATATATGCAGCACATAAAAATCAACTTTATTGCATCATGAATTTGTTATATTCTAGCCTATAATGAAACAGAATTTTAAAGACTTTGCTTGTTTTCTTAGACTTTAGAAAGGACTTAAGCAATAATTTAGATAGCTAGACTACTTTAAAGCAAAACAGAAAAGAAAAAGTTTAAGTTTATCTGATACCTATTTTCCTTCTTAAATTATCCTATAGTAAGAGTAAGCATTTAAAACTACTCAGTTTGGGGCTCCTAGGTGGCTCAATTGGTTAAGTGTCTGCCTTCAGCTCAAGTCATGATCCTGGGGTCCTGGGATGGAGCCCTGCATTGGGCTCCCTGCTCAGCGGGAATCCTGCTTCGGGAGAACCCTGCCGCTCCCCCTGCTTGTGCTCTCTCTGACAAATAAATAAATAAATAAATAACAAAAAAACCCTACTCAGTTGGCTTTAGACCTGGTTTCAAAAATGGGCCTGTGTTTTTTTTTTAATAGCCAGTGGTTTTTACCTCTTCCTTTAGGGGGTGGTGGGTTAAGACACAGATTGAACTATTTAGTGAGTTAAAGACATAAAAAATGAAAGCTAAAACTATCCAACAGATTGTGCCTTAGTGTTAGCACAGGTTAGACTAGTCACTACCTTGGTGGGTGGCCTCAGTGTGTTTGGGTTCAGATTCTACACAGTAATACAATTTCTTGGTGTTTCCAGGTAAGAGTTCTTGGTTTGCACCAATCCCAGGGTGGCCAGAGGGCACCGGACCAGTCTATTCATTTTTCAAAATGCTATCGTAGACCTGATAGATATATGGAGAGACTTCAGGAGCTCTACACTTAAGTGACAGCATATAATTTGGGCTTCCTGGCTGTCTACATAGCTCAGCCAAAATCCAAACGACATTAGTGAGCTTCAGGGATTGGTACAGCATGCCCTGCCTTTCCACATTCCTCTTGGCAATAGTCTAAACGTTGTTGTTTTGCAATTTGTTGGAAATAGTGTCAGCATTTAAATGACATTCCTTAACCTGAAACCGAAGCTCATTTTTATCGGGAATATCCTTCCATGTTGCAAGGAAGACCTGGTGCTCCATTTTGCCATCTTCTACGGAAAGCACATGAGTGGGATGAGGCAGCTGAAGGAGAAGACATCAATATTACTTTTCACAGCTACCTGCAGTTTATTCAGAGGTTCCATCTTCATGACTGGGCCCAAGGTGTTGAGAGTTAGGGAGACATCAATGCTCTGGTTTGGCATCAGTGATGTATGGATGGCCAGAGGAGTGCTCGGGATGACACCAAAGCTATTCTTGTTAAACTGGATTGCAAAGTCTGTCATGTGCTACAGAGCTTTGTTGGTGAAGTTCCTTTCCATATAGATGTGCCCTTGGCAGTGACTGAATGTTCCGGAAATCTCCAAGCCTTTAGCTTTTACAACAGGCAGCCAGACATCCATCAGGTGCTATACCTGTCCCCATGGAGAGTTCAAACAGGTCGTTCAGACCACTGTGGACCACAGCAGGAGTAGGTGAAGGAGCAGAGGTTGCAGACACTGATGAGGGGATGAAGGATTGTCCCACCAGACCATCTAGTCCTCCTCCCAAGAGATCCACTGCTGCCATCTGCATGGAGGACCTGTGGCACATTGACTGGGGGGCTGAGGTCAAGGCTTAAGGTTTAAAAGGTCTCCTGGAAGGTCAGCTTGAGAGGGGCTAACCGAGGCTGCTCCAGGTTGGTGGCCGTGGTGGTGCCAGCAGGGCTGCCACCTGCATCAGTGCTCCCGTGGCGTATTGGCAAGTGCTCGTGATGGATTCCGTGACTTCTTCCACAAAAGCATTGGGAGGCTAATGGCATACTGAGGCCAAAGAAGCCATGTGGCAGATTAGCTCATCTAGCAGAGTTGGCTCAATAAGATCTGTCTCCTCAGACATCAGTGGCTTCTAAGACAAGACTGCTTCTCTGGCTGTGACAGGGTCCATTGAGAAAAGGCACCAGTAAATATAGCCCCGGTCTTGAAGGTCAGGATTATCAGAATCCTGTGTTGTCAAACTCAAGACTTGCTGTACCGGTTCCTGTGTATTTCCTGGTTTCTTGAGAAACAGCTTCACTATGGTAGTAAGCAGAGTAAGCTGCACCTGGTGCTTTCGTCATGAAAACCCTCCAGGAAGCTTTCCAGTAACTCATTTGCATTGTCTGTTCTCTCAGCATATTCTCCCCCAATCCAAATCATAGCTGCTCGAGCGTCTGGTTCATCCAGCGAGTCTAAGTTCTCACACAGAGTGGCAGTGATACTTTCATACTTGCTGGAGTATTTGTGAAAGCTGTCCCCGATGGCAGCAGTTACCTCTTGGACCACGTGATTTCCTTTGGTCCAGATGAGATCAGGCAATATGCATACATGGCGCCCCGGGGATCGCTCCATTTTGATGGCTCACCGTCCAGTGGCCCTCACAGCTTTGCGAACAAAGCCAACATCCACCTCTGTGGCATATTCCTTTAATTCTGCCAGAACCTGAGCAGTGTTGGCTTGGAATGCCAAATGAATCATGATGTCCAACTGCTCTAGTTTAGGGTAGATGGGATCGTTGTACTTTACAAAGAAGACTTTGATTTCCTGCTTCAAGATTTTGGGCCTTTTTTTGACAATTACATTGATATTTCTCAGGGTGACATACTGCACCTCTGGCTCCCCAGACAGCAGAGTGACAAGTGGAAGGGCCAAGTTCTTCAGCAGTATATTGTAGTAGTCCAAGTCCTTGGATAACAACTTTAGAAACTTCACTAAGACTTTTACTGCTGAAAGCACCACTGCTGAGTTGGCATGAGACAGCCAGTGAGTTACATGCTCACAGGTGCTCTGAGCCTTCCGGTCATCTTTAGGGTTGTAACTAGACAAGGCAGTCCAAGATGAAAATCTGCCCCATCCAGTGCCCTCATTCAGGGCTGTCAGCAGCTTATTAATGCTCTGTGGGTTCAGATCAGGTAGGTTGCTGTTTGGGTGAGATTCACTGATTTCAGATCATGCTACTACAGCTTTAGCCTGCACAATGCATTGGATTTGAATCTGCTATGAGATCCCGCAGAGAATCTAAAAATCCCTGATCTTCCACCGTTTGGGCATTGATATCACGGAGTTTTGCCACACAGACTGCTGCTGTTCTCCAAACATAGGGATCCTCATCCTTCAAGCACTTGCAGAAGGGTTCACAGAGATATTCTGTAACCTTGGGCACCTGGATGTACCCCTATGGTCCTGACGACCAAGGCCCAAATTAGAGGATTGGCGTCTTCACAGTCCTTCACAAAGCTGTTGACAGCCATGATGGCCATGTCTGGCTGACTCGTGGCATAGTTCATCAAACAGAGATGCACAAGCTTCTTTAATTCCAGATTGTCAGTTTACATCTGGGAAGAGAGCTGACATCCTTCCCCACAGTCATGGCAGCAATCACTTTCTTCATAGTCTCCTCCCTCTTTTCTTTCCTTTCATTGTTGAGTTCCGCCTTAATTAAAAGATTTCTCCTTTTTTATTGATTGTGAAGTACTTGGAGTCAGTCATGGTTTTGGATCTTTAATGTGCACCAGAGGCAAGGGGAGGGGTGGGGCAGCAGCCAGAGAACATGGCCCAAGTGGTGTTGTAATGGTTTCCTGCACGTAACTGAATATAAATATTTTTAAAGGTCTTGTTATATCTTGTCAAATTGCTTTCCAAAAAAATTCTCCTAACTTAACACGGCCACCACCACATGTGCAAGTCCTGTTTCTCTTTACCCAAGATCTGTATGACTGTTTTTCCTTTATTTATGTGATAACAGAAATATATAATATTTAATCTCTTTAATTTGTTTCATTTGGACTGCTAGTAAGGTTGAAGGTTTTTCCATATATTTGTGACCATTCTTTGTAGATTGTTTTTATCTTATTTACACATTGGGATATTAGTATTAATGATCTCAAGGATCTAATAATAAAATTGGTATTATTAGAGACTCTTAACTCTAGGAAACTGAGAGTTGCTGTGATGGGGAGGTTGGTGGGGGAGGTGGGGTAACTGGGTGATGGGCATTAAGGAGGGCACTTAATGTAATGAGCACTGGGTATTAAATGCAACTGATGAATCACCTAAATTCTACCCCTGAAACTAATAATACATTATATGTTAATTAAATTGAATTTAAATAAAAAATTTTAAGAAATAGAGCCATTTCAAATAAGACTACAAAGGAAGAAAGTAGACATTAACTGTATTAAAAATATAAAAAGGAAAATAAACTTTAGAGAGATAGATGAGAATATCTCAGAACTAAAATGCAGGCATAGTCACTTGAAACATAGGATATTAGAAAACTAATTGGACTAAAATTCTGTAGTGTTAGAATTATATCTTGCTCTGTCACTGGCTGACTTCTAGTAGGGCATATAGCTAAATATTTAACTTCTCTTGTTTGTAAAGGGAAAATATTATTGTCCTTTAATTACCTGAGGTGGGAGGCAGTAGTAGTAATAATGGTGATAATGGCAGTAAAGATTTATTTTACCATAGATGATATGGAAAAGGAAGAGAGCATAAATTCCTGTGCTCAGAAACAAGAGTATGGCCAAATGAGCTGGTGCTTCCATAGGTATCACAAGAAGTACCAGGGATCTCCCTTTCCTCTCTGCCTCCCATTCCATCCCTCCAGACATATAATGCAGTGTCATTTGTATAGACATAAATCTCTCTCAAGATAGAATTACATTCTGGGTAAATTTTTATGATTGAGATGGGGATTTTTAACATCAGATATGTTGGTCTAAATTTTCTATGAGCCTTATAAAATCTCATTTTAAAAATCCTTTACAGAATACTGTTCTGTACATCAAAGAGACAAAAGATAAAATAACTCATGGGATTTGAACCTGTGATTTCAGAGAGTTTACTCCACAGTGGCTTTTCTGCCATCAAGCTCTCTCCTCTGGCTAAGAACATATTTTAATACTGAAAAAACTGTATGCAATTGAGTTAATAGCCAGGTGGTTAGTTCTGTTCTAGCATATCATGAGAGTGAGTTGAACACCTATATCCTTAGCTTGTTTGAAAAGTGTGTTTGATGACAGATCTTTTTCTGTTCCCCAAAAGAAGTTCTCTTTAATCTTTAGCTGGAAAATTAAAGTGTCAACTTTATCCACTAGGATGTACCCCTTAAAAAAGTGGCTAGTACTTTTAGATATTTTATGATTACTCACATAGGTCATAGACCGTAAACTGATTAATGACCTAGTCCCTTTGCTGATTACTGAACTAAAATTACTAAAACTAATTTTACCAAACATATATCATGTTAAAGCACCCCCACTTAAGAAAAATTGATTTGAGTTAATATAGATAGATTTTCTTTCCTTAAGTCCCCAAAGACTACATTTATATAGATAGTAGCTACATATTTTCATCACTTTTTGAAGGAGTGTATTCACATGCTAGTTGATATTCTTACTTACTTTTCTTGCCAAGGAAACATACATAATGATTTATGAAGTAGAAATGTATTATTTTAAAATTGAGGGGCGCCTGGGTGGCTCTGATGGTTAAGCATCTGCCTTCAGCTCAGGTCGTGATCCCAGAGTCCTGGGCTCTTGCGCGAGTCCTGGGCTCATGCCCCATATCCAGCTCCTGGCTCAGCGGGGAGCCTGCTTCTCCCTCTCCCTCTGCCTCTCCCCTGCTCATGCTCTCTCTCTCTCTCTCTCTCTATCTCTGTGTCTCAAGTGAATAAATACAATCTTTTAAAAAATAAAATAAAATTGAGAGGGAAGACTGTCTTTACAGAGAATAGTGTTTTCAAAATAATAGCTAGATTTTATATAATTCTTCCTACTCTATTCTGTTTTAAATTATTTAATAGTTTATATAATTTGATAAGCTAAAGCCATGTATTATCTATTACCAAAAACAAAAAGGAAATGGTTTCTAAACTTCCAAATGTGTGATGTACATATATTTGTAAGATCTTTGAAATTTGACTACTAAAGTTTGATATCTTGGCCAGAGAGACTGTTAATAATGTAATGTCAACATGCTAAATTCATCCTATAAGATACTTCTTACTCAGCTGAAGTCCTTTATGGTCCACCCTGAGATTTGGGTTAATTGTTCTTCATAGGAATATAGCTCAGGAAAGAAAGATCGGTCCTAAGTTAAAGAGACCATTTCAACATCTGGGAAGGAAAATGTGAGATAAGTGTATCTGTATAGAAATAAAATGAATTATAAATGGCAAAAATGGAGTCAGTAATAGGTACTTTTTTCCTTCCAGGTTATGCATTAGACCCTTCATTAGATAATCATCAAGTGTCTGCTAAATATATTGGTTCGGTAGAAGAAGCTGAAAAAAATCAAGGTAACTTTCAAATTTATTTGAAATATTTTATATCAAGTATATGTATATATACACACATACTTATAATTACTGTCTTGCAGATTGACCTGAGACAGTAGGAAAAACTAGTATTTTAGTAGATTGATTTATTTTTAAGTTGAAACAGGTAATAATATTATAGAGCAGTATAGTTTAGGACCATTATAGTTTAGAGCTTGTTTTTTGCCAATTATGAGGCATGCAACCTTGTAGGGAAGATGTTGCGACCTATTATTCTGGGTTGTTATGAGTACTTGGCTGAGTGCCAACCATGTAGAAATCATTCAATAAATTATAATTAATGTGTAGCAAATGTTTGCAGTTTATCTCTCAACACTAATATCAAGCTACATTTTTACAGAGCAGAACAAGTTTTATTATACATTGTCTATGGAGATCGTCTTAGGGTTGCTTTGAAGGCTGAGTTTGAATATGTTTTAGAATATATGTTTGTGCTCATATTCATTTTGTACTTAGAAGACAAAGCATTATACTCTAAATGCTAACTTGTCACAAAGCTCATCATTGGAATCTTACCCATAAAATATGCTCATTAGAAAAAGAATATGCTGCTTCTATGAGGATACTTCTGCTTAGCAGCTCCAGCTCCTGTATCATCCAGCGACCTTCAGTGTATGAGCTACATTATTGGTTTTTTTTTAATTGGAATATGAATATATTTCTTTATTAGGATGCTCACAAGAAATGACACGCTAGCACTGTCCTACATGTTAAAATAGAATTTTGACAAGCCTTTGTTGTAGCACACAACCTTATAAAGGAAACTGATTTGAATTAACATAGGTAAGCTTTTTTCTTTAAGTTAGACCTCTACAAGCCATATCTTTTGTGTAGTTAGATTCTCCATTAACAGTTAAATTGTGATTATGGCTCCCATAAACCTTTCTTTTTCCAATTTAATGACGACACACAGCTTGACACCTCCTACTGATCAAATCAGAATCTAAACCAGAAACATCCTCTTTCCTCTTTTCTTTTTAATCCAAGATTTATGATATTAGAGGTCAAATTTAGATTTAGATCACTTAGAAGAATACCAGATTCTTGTGAAACCTTGCTTAATATATATTGTTAAGTTACAAGTGAATCAAAGTTATTAATTACTTACTGTAATTTAATTCAGTTTTTAAATGATAAATTTTAATGTATTCTTGCTTTCAAAAGTAGCTTTATCTGGGCACCTAGGTGGCTCTCAGTTGAGCATCCCACTCTTGATTTTGGCTCAGGTCATGATCTCAGGGTCATGAGATCAAGCCCTGCATCGGGTTCTGTGCTGAGTGTGGAGCCTGTATGAGATTCTCTCTCTCTTAAAAAAAAAAAAAAAAAAAAGTAGCTTTATCGTTATTTAGCAATGTTAAGTTGCTGGATTCCTTTCAAAAAGTGGTAAAATCCACTGATATACGTCCTTGAGTCATTAAAAGGATTGTGTACCTTGTAGGATTACATAGCCAGGTCTTTTCTTTAAGTATATTAGGACTTGCAAAATATTGCAGTAGTTGAAAGCTTCTCTTCCCAGAAGGTTGAGTTTCTTTTCGTATGGCATGAGTTGGTATACCTGGCAAATTCATATAGATTTTGTTTTGTGTTCTTTAATAAATTCTTTGGTCATAGGGGCGCCTGGGTGGCTCAGGCGTTAAGCGTCTGCCTTCAGCTCAGGTCATGATCCCAGGGTCCTGGGATCGAGCCCCACATCGGGCTCCCTGCTCAGCTGGAAGCCTGCTTCTCCCTCTCCCACTTCCCCTGCTTGTGTTCCCTCTCTCGCTGTGTCTCTCTCTGTTCTATAAATAAATAAGTAAAATCTTTAAAAAATAAAAAATAAAATAAAGTAAAAAAATAAATCTTTGGTCACTTGAATAATCACTTTTCTTTAAGCTATATATAAAGTAAAAATTATATATATGCTACTGTTTCTTTAGAAAATATCCATATTTGTGATCTCTCTTTTTTTAATGTAGGTTTAACTGTGTTTGAAACTGGTCAGAAAAAGATAGAAAAGAGGAAAAAGTTCAAAGAAAATGATGCATCTAATATTGATGGTTTCTTGGGACCGTGGGCAAAATATGTGGATGAAAAAGATGTAGCCAAACCCTCAGAAGTAAGTTTTGATGTTTTTCATTGCCAATTCAGGTAGATGCTGTGTGTATGTGAAGGATATCTATAATAATGAACTTGAGATTTCTTAGAGAACCAAATGATGACTCATCAATATTTCTCTGCCGTGGTTGATTGAGAAAATAAAGTAAGATTTTTAAATTTTTCTTGGGAAAAGAAAATAATAAAATGAATAAATTTTTCTTGGGAATACTTTTAATTTATCCCCTTTTGATTTATTTTCTTCCATATTTTTAATTAAAATACAATATTGAACAATTTTTAATAAAAATTTAAATTTCATAAAAATTGATAATGCTTTATTAAGCTACGGTGTAGCTGCTTTTGATACCAGATACTCAGATAGTAACCACAGAATCAGCCTCTGTAATTTTAGAATTGATGTGGGTTTTATTTGTAAATTAACTTATTTAAAAATTTTACCAAATAATCTATATTTTAAAAAAAATAATACTATGAAGTTTTATAAAGTAAAACCATAGAACCCTACCTGTCCTTCTCCATCTCCTAATCCTACTGTCTCTGTGAGCCAGTGACTGTCCTAGGCCTTAGGGATATAGCAGTGGACAAGATCAGGAAAATCCTGTTCTCATGAAGCTTATATTCTAGCTGTATCTTTCATCCATGTATATCAATCATATACATGTGCCGCTTTTTATTTACATTAGACATTGTTGACTTCTTTTTATTATAGAGATTTACTACTATCCCACCTTCCTTCCACTGCTCCTCCCATAAAAGTTGTGTCAAAAATCTGTAGTCATTGCTTATATCCTCATGGATATAAGGATCCTTGTATTCTTAGGAAAAGCTGTTTACTGGAGAACGACATTGTGTATACAAATTGAGTTTCCAATACTAGATTTTCTAACCACTTTGTTTTTTTGTTTACATAATTAGCATAATACAATAAATTTGTTTCTAGGTGTTCCAAAAAGATGGGTTTTGTATAAAATGAGTTTAAAAGTATTAACTAGTACCCATTATGTGTTAATGTCATTTTGTAATCTGTCGAAGAGTTGAGACTGTTATCCCAGGAGACATACTTACAGCTCTTGCTTCACCCAAAGTTGGACCTCATAAAGTATTTATAACCAGCTTTGGGCACAGTGGGGTTCTAAAACATCCATTTTAAAGTTCACTCCTTAACTTCCTTAGGAAGAACAAAAAGAATTGGATGAAATCACAGCGAAGAGGCAGAAAAAAGGCAAACAGGAAGAAGAGAAGCCTGGGGAGGAGAAGACAATCTTACATGGTAATATAGTTTTTATGCCTCTTCATTTTTATGATAAACTTTCAGATATTCACTCTGTTCTCTGTTCATGTAGTATCAATTGCCTTTACTAATCAGCTGCTGTACTTCACTATATTAAGAATAATTGTATTTGACTATTTGCATCTCAAAAAAATTACAGCAGACTCTTCCATATAATAATAATTAGTTATATTTGGAAAATTATGTAGTTATTATCAAACTGTAAAGAATAATTTAGTACCAATGTATTGATTATTCTAATGTTAGATCACATATCAAATATTTAGGTTTGATGAGGCCATATTTGGTTTCTCAAACTCCAGTTTTCTTTCCAAGGACACTATTTAATGCTTTGGTGCTTGCAGCCATAATAAAAATAACAGCCAACATCTATTGAGGACTTACTCTGTGCCAGGCAAGTTACTAAATGCTTTATATACACTATGTCATTTAAGCCCCACAAGTGACTTCACTGCAAACTTTGTGTTGAAAGTGTAAAAGAGAATGGAAAAGGAACCTGGAAGGGCGTAAAAGAGGAAGGCAGGGAAAAAGGATATGTGGAAGGAAATGCATATTCAGGAAATGTATTTTGAATGAATGATACATTCAGGAAATGTATCAAAAATGATATTTTTGCTTTAACTTCTTTTCTATCCTGTTTTGCTTCTGGGTTTTTGCCCGTGACTCACAAGGCCCAAGTATTTTCTTTTCTTCCCTCACTGTAATTATGCTGCAGTGAAGTCTTTTTTATATATCATTAAAATGTGTAACTAAGTAAAAGAAGTATAGATTTTACTTAAAGGTCTGATATTCTCTGGGTAGTTAGAAATTCCAAAATACTACCTCTAATTGTAAATAATAGCAGTGATTTCAAGCAGCTAAATTTTAGCTGACTCTTGGTCTTAACTTCATCAGAGTGTTATTACCTCAACCTTAATAAGGAACAATATCCCTATGAGTAAATTGTTATCATTTAAGGATATAGATCTTATGACTATAGCTTGTATTTGTTCACTGCTTTCCTTTGTCTTCTTGTTTCAGTTAAAGAAATGTATGACTACCAAGGTAGATCCTATCTTCACATACCTCAGGATGTTGGTGTTAATCTTCGGTCCACTGTGCCACCTGAGAAGTGTTACCTTCCCAAAAAACAAATTCATGTGTGGTCTGGACATACAAAGGTAAGCAGATTAGTCATAGGGATTGACCATGACATAACATTCATAATTCAGTATTCTGGTAGCCCAAGCCTTTCCCCACAAATTCCTGCCACAATCTACTTTTTCTGGGGTACCATGTCAGTGAATAATGGGTTGGTAGTAGCACCAAAACCTCAGTAATTTTGCCTTAGCTCTTGGAATTATCATGCTTAAGAGAAGATTAGATGGTTTCTGGTTTATAAACTATGGTCATATTGAAACTAATGCAGAGGGGCGCCTGGGTGGCTCAGGCGTTAAGCGTCTGCCTTCGGCTCAGGTCATGATCCCAGGGTCCTGGGATTGAGCCCCACATTGGGCTCCCTGCTCAGCGGGAAGCCTGCTTCTCCCTCTCCCACTTTCCCTGCTTGTGTTCCTGCTCTCGCTATCTCTCTGTCAAATAAATAGATAAAATCTTAAAACAAAAAACTAATGCAGAGACAAGATACTTGAAACTTTTGATGTTGATATTCCTTGTCATCTGTACTATTCCAGCTGATAATTCCCAGCTCTTAGCAAAGAGCAAAGGAACTGAAAAAAAGGAAGAGGAGAGAGAGCATTAGCAACTTGACTAAGAATTCCCTTGGGTGAGAAAGTCAGTATTAAAGGTTAAAAAACGTATCTTCAAAAGCTTAGTGTCAATGAAGGCTGTTCTTGGAATACTAGTGAAGGTTATTCTGGGGCATGATTTTTGGAATGAAGAAAAACAGTAAATTAGATTGCTTAAAAATACACTGTCCTTTCCTTATGTTTCATTTTAGCTGATAGTAGAATGTTTCTGATTGATAACTGTAATACCTTTTTATAGGGTGTCAGTGCCGTCAGATTATTTCCTCTCTCTGGCCATTTATTGCTGTCTTGTTCCATGGACTGTAAAATTAAGGTGAGTTTTCAGTAACAGAGTAGGAATGCTGCTGAGCTAGTGCTTTGGTCAAGTCCGTTTGGTTAATTATAAATAAATTTGGGTTTGTTAGCCAATTAGAGGCTAATTATTAGGCCCCATGAATGCAGCCACTTATGAACTCCTTCCAAACATGTTGATTCAAATATGGCTCTATGGTCCAATTGGCTAGGCTCTTTTGTAAGCTAGATAACTGATTAGAACGTAATCAGTCACTTTGGTTTTAGTTACATCAATATTTAATCACTAATAATGCATTTTTTTTTAGAGGTTTTGGATATGTAACTAAGTTCATTTGTTCCGCAGAACCATATGAGGTAGAGAGGACACACGATAGAAATCCCATTTTAGAAAGTAGATAATGCAATTCATCCTTTTTCTTTATAAATGCAAGTGGATACCAAGTAGCAGAAATGCTCCCAGCCTCTTCTCTCAGTTTTTATATTATCGTCTTAGGAAGCTCCACCTTAAGCTAAATTTCAGCTGTAGAGTATGTGGGGGAAAAAACTCAGTTGCCGCTTCATGTCAGCTTGAACATGGGGAAAGCCTTTTTAAAAAAATCTTAAATCTGAAAGAGTAGTTATCTTTTTTTGTGTCTTCTGTGTCTAGATTGTTATGATGGTCAAGAAATATCAACTCTGTAATACTCTTGAGGCTTGGAAAGTTGAATCATTAAAATTTTACTCTTTGTAAACAATTCATGGGTATTAACAATATATGAAGGTAGCTTTTCTTGATGAGAGCAATCATTTAGGCATTTGCCTCTACTCAGTAGCTTAAAATCACAGGCCAGCAGTTTGGAGTAAAAACCTTTATTTCCTTTAACTTTGACTTCATACAAGCTATGTTCGTTGAGATTAAGGTCTTTTGACCAATTAAAAAAGCATAGAGTTCAATTTTGTTCACACCCATAAACATTTATTAGGTACCTATTATCTGCAAGGGGCTGAGACTAAAATTTATCAAGGTCTGTCCCTGCCCTCAGGGTAATCATTTCATTATGATGTAAATGATGGTTATAGAGTCAGGTGGAAAGTGTTCTGGTTTCTAAGAGGAAGCATCCTTCAGCAGGAAGGTAACTAAGTAAAGTGTGGTGGGGGAAGGGTGTGTGGGTAGTGGAGTATGTCTGAAATGAGTGAATAGAATGGATAAGCATGGCATGTGCTGAACACGACGAGTTTTTGGTTGCTGGAGTCTCAAATCTGAGAGATACAGAATGGCGACAGTCATAGGCAAAGGATCAGGTGCTAGAGGTCCTTGCTTGGTATGCTTTGGGAACTGAAACTTAATCCTGTTGGCACTGGGTGGCCAGGAAGTGCTGTCTCTTTTAGAACACTAGTAACATTATTGAGGAATAGATTTGAGGCAGGCAAGAGTAAAGGTAGTTTTAGGGACACCTGGTTTGGCTGTCGGTTAAGCGTCTGCCTTCAGCTCACGTCATGATCTCAGGGTCCTGGGATCGAGCCCCGCATCGGGCTCCTTGCTTAGCGGGGAGCCTGTTTCTCCCTCTGTCTGCTGCTCCCCCGCTTGTGCTCGCCCTCTCTTTCTCTCTCTCTCTGACAAATAAATAAATAAAATCTGAAAGAAAGGAAGAAAGAAGGTAGTTTTGAAGCTTTGTATTAATTCACTTTAGGTGTGATGAGAATTATTAGTCTATTACATTTTAGTCTAGATCATTTTCATATAGCTTCTATAATATTTTGTTACTTCAGAAAGTTAAAAAAAAATTCCTCTGTACCAAAATGTTATAAACATGGCAGTTTTAATAACCTTTAGTTCTTCGAAAGTAGCTTATAATATTACATAAGTAAAAACTTTTCATCATAGAAAATATATCAAATATAGAAAAGAATAAGAAGAAAGTGAAAATCACTTGTTTTAGCTCCATCTAAGTTCTCTTGATATTTTGGTGTATCTTTCAGTATCAGAGTTCATATTTGTGTGTGTGTGTGTGTGTGTGTGTGTGTGTAGTCCAAATGGTACAACACAGACTAGCAGCGCCAAGCATCATGTTCATTGATGCCTTTGGTTAAATCCCCAGTACCCACAGATATGCACACACATAGCTGGCATATGGTTGTTGTTCTTGATTGAAACTTGTCATTTTATCTAAGTCTTGTATTCAGTTTAATATTTCTATGTGTTTTTTCCCCAGCTATGGGAGGTTTACGGAGACAGACGCTGTCTGCGAACATTTATTGGTAATACTTCTTTTCTTTCTGTCTATAAATCTGTTTGGAAAGACTTTTTAAACTACATCATTGATAGGAATGTTACTACACTGATAATGAAGGAAAGTCTTCAAAGACTCGAACTGAGTCTTGAAGAGGGAGTGAGTCCTCCCACATAGACAGAAAAGGGAACTGGGAAGAGAGAACAGCAAAAGCAAAAGTGGTTTGAGAAAGCATGCTGCTTTGGGGCAGCCAGGTATATTTCAGAATTGCCAGGGAGGGGATATGATGAGAGATGACAAGAGGAAAAAGCAGTATAACCAGGGGCAGAGCATGAAGGACCTTATGTGCCATCAGTGAGGAGTGTGGAATCTATCCAGAGGGCCTTGGAAAGCCAGCCATTAAACAGCTCTTGCAGGAAATTAACTCAATCAGATCTGAAGTTTACAGGGATCATAGTGGCAGTATGGAAGATGCTCTGGTAGGCGGCAGGCCTGCAGGCAGGGAAATGAATGACAGGGTTGTTTCATCGGTCTGGATTAGAGATGATGAGAGCAGCAGATGGAGAGGAAAGGAACAATCAAGAGTTAAAATCAGTGAGCCTGAGTCACTGGATGTGAGTGATAAGAATGAAGCAGAAATCTAGGGTGACTCCCAGCTGGCTGGCTGAATGGTGATACCATTTGCCAAGAGAGGGAACATAAGAGGATGATGAGGTGTCACTGTTAAATTTGAGCTACCTTTGGGATATTGAGACGAAAATGTCCGTAAGCAATTAGCCAGGTGTTGAGCTTTGAAAAGGGGCTCAGAATCGGCAGCTAAAGCATACGAAAGAATAAAATTGAGTGAACTCCTTGAAAGAGAAAACAAGGCCAAAAAGAGAACAGCTTTGTGGCAAACTAGTCTTTTTGGTAGAGAATAGTTTACTGTCTTTGTGAGATTTTGTGTGAAGTCTGGTTACATTTCCAAATTTAACTGTACATTATTGAAACACTATTTGTGTGAATCGTAGTGGCTCTGTTTTTAGATTCAAGTGCCGCTCTGCAGCACTTTGTTAGGATTTTAGGGCCTTGCTAAACAAATAAATAGCCCAGGGTACCATAGCATCCTACAGGAAGACTCTGCACAGCAGACGGGAACAAGATGCCTCTTGTACATGTAGTGGACTTGGTCTCCATCTGTCTCCTCTGCACCGGCAGGCAGTTTTTCAGTGGGAAACAAAATTACCAGTTTTGGAAGATGGGACTCTTGCTGTAGAAAAGAATGCCTAATTACTGTGGCACATAGCCTGATTCAAGTTCCCTGGTGATGGCCGTCCAACGCTGCCGTGTGTGGTTGACGATTTGTGCAATGAATGCATGTTCTGTCAGTCTTGGTCTTGATGGGGTGGTAGAAAAAAAGGAAGGTTTCTGCTTTCATTTAGCCACATTTATTTGTCCCTGCAACTTTCAAAAGAGTGGATTGGTCTGGCAGACTGATTTCTAAGCAGAGCACCTTAAAGTTAATTTATTGTCAAAATGCTATTTTAAAACAAAATAGAAGTTAATGTTAGTTTCCAAAAGGTTAAGTCTCTGAGATTCTGAAGTCCCTTCTCTGAAACTTGGTAATGTGATCACAGAAATCTGCAGGTATTGAAGAAGAGCTATGATTTCATGAACTTTATAGGGTAAAGTCACTTTGTTTCACTTAGTGAGTAATCTGGAGAATGAACCTCCCAAATGTCACTAGGCCCTCCTCTTTCATTGGTAATAATTGGTCTGTTATGTTTCCTTAAATTCTTGGCTCCTTAGTCATCAATTATGTATATTGCGTATTAAAAGATTTCTATGACAAACTCTAAAAAAAAAATGTTAGATCTTTTATCTTGGTTCTTACCTAAATGTTATGCATCAGAAACACCTAGGGAACTATTTGAAGGGGGAATTAAAAAACCACCTACGTTCCCAAGCCCACACCTAACATATTCTGCATCAGTAAGTCAGGGGATAGGATTCCAGAGATTTTGACTCACAGGGTGGCTTGAAAATGCTGTTTCTTTTATGGTGTTTGTGTTTTAAGAGGAGATACTTCACCTCACCTCCATTTCTTTTGTCCCTGCCTTAGGCCACAGCAAAGCCGTTAGGGACATCTGCTTTAATACTGCAGGAACGCAGTTCCTCAGCGCAGCTTATGACAGGTACCTTAAGCTCTGGGACACTGAGACAGGTAAGAGCTCACTTATACTAATGCCAATACATATTTATCTTATAAATTAGCATTTATAAACGGTGCAACATTGAGTAGTCTTCTGTGGCAAAATGGTGCCTTCTGTAACTGCTGATTCTCATATCCTCGACTGTCAGCTGATATCATAAAATGTTTGTAGAGTTCAAACTCAGCTACATAAGTAGCTCTTTTACTCTGAGACTTTGTTTCCATTAAATACAATTTATAAAGCAAACATCCTGATAGACTAAAAAATTTGAAATCTTCCACAGACTAGTTAATTGATCTTTTTGTTCCCCTCTACCACCAAGCACGCTGCATTGCACATAATAGAAGCACAATAAATGTCTGATGAACAAAATTAAATTTAATTACCCACATTGATTAAAAAGTAAGTCTGTTTACAGACCCATGGGTCAGGTGGTTTTATATATTCACAGATGTTAATTGTATTAGTACATTGTGGCTAGTATAATTTTATATAATTAGAGAACCATCTTTCATCTCACTGAGTTTTAACGGTAAAGATAATAGCTAATATTTATTGAACACTTACTGTTTACCAGGCATTGTGCTATGCACTTGTATCCAGCATCACATCCAATTCTTAAAATAACCCTGTAATTACTGTTATTATTACAGATGAAGAAATTGAGGCTTAAAGGGGGGAGCTTTCCCAGAGCCACACAGATAGTAAGTGGCTGAACTGATTTAAACCAAGGTCTCTAATGCCAGAGCCCCTACTCTTACCCCGCGGTGGGTCTCAACTCCGGCTACACATCATAATCACTTTATTCTGCAATTGATACAGATTTACTTTTGAAAAAAGTATTTTTAATCATAAAGAATCTGTGAAAAGGAACAATATAGTTCATAGTAAAGAACAAGCAGGCTGCCCTTCCCCAAAATGTATTAAGCAAATGATCTCGAAATGTTAATCCCCGGGCTGTCTTTGAAGTGATCAAGCTTCTTTTCCTTACTTTAACCTGAGTCTTTGGTTTTAGGACAGTGTATATCAAGATTTACAAACCGAAAAGTGCCCTATTGTGTCAAATTTAATCCCGATGAAGATAAGCAAAATCTCTTTGTAGCTGGTATGTCTGATAAAAAGATTGTGCAGGTAAGTCTTTTTACAGTATTCTTAGTAAGATTCCTATAGTTTATGTTGTTTTAGGGGATGGAATAAGGAATATTAACTTGTTTAATGCTTGCTGCTTTTAGGGACTGCTAATGGTCTATTTTTAGTAGAAAACAGTCATTACGTTAGAGATCTTTTTCTTCACTTTCCATAGTTCTGATCTTAATTTTCATATCTGCTCCACTTCTGTCTTTACCTTTTCTCTTGTTTGATATACAGTGGGACATTCGAAGTGGAGAAATTGTGCAGGAATATGACCGGCATTTGGGAGCTGTCAACACCATTGTTTTTGTTGATGAGAATAGGAGATTTGTGAGCACATCTGATGATAAGAGCCTAAGAGTTTGGGAATGGTGAGTTTCTGTCAGTAGAAGATCTGATTTATGTAATTATAGCAAGCAATTTAAAACTTTGTAGCCAAAGCAAAGCCTGATAATATGCAACCATTTGAATATTTTCACAACTATGGTCTCTGGCTTGCCAACCAAGCTGCTTTAAATATTTAAGTACCCAGAATATGGAAATAAAAATTTAGACATGCTACGTTTCGTAGTCTTTGGGCAGTCTATCTAAAGGTTATATATTTTGAGGCACTTTTCTTGCATTGGTGAAAAGTTTATATTGTGTTGCCTTACATTTGTTTATTAGGTACTTTGTCTTTGCAAAATGACTGATGAGATGCAGGGCCCACAAATGTATAGACTCTATTATTTACTGTTGGGATTGAACATTAGAGTCAACCCAAAGAAAGAAAAAATAGTTGGGGCGCCTGGGTGGCTCAGTCGTTAAGCGTCTGCCTTCGGCTCAGGTCATGATCCCAGAGTCCTGGGATCGAGTCCCGCATCGGGCTCCCTGCTTGGCCGGGAGCCTGCTTCTCCCTCTCCCACTCCCCCTGCTTGTGTTCCCTCTCTCGCTATGTCTCTCTGTGTCAAATAAATAGATAAAATCTTTAAAAAAAAAAAAAAAGAAAGAAAGAAAAAATATTTAAAAATCTTTTAAGTTTTTAAATGTCTACATTATGATTATTCAGTACTGAAACTGGCCTCATGTCATCACCCATTGTGTCCTGCCATTCATAACACGTAATGGTAGAAAACAAATGTTTTATTTGTAGAGTATGTTGGTAATTTTGCTTTCCTTGAGAGAGGAAAAAAAACTTTTCTAAAGTCAAGAAATACTAAAGCTATGGGCGCCTGGGTGGCTCAGTTGGTTAAGCGACTGCCTTCGGCTCAGGTCATGATCCTGGAGTTCCTGGATCGAGTCCCGCATCGGGCTCCCTGCTCAGCAGGGAGTCTGCTTCTCCCTCTGACCCTCCCGACCCTCCCCCCTCTCGTGTGCTCTCTCTCTCAGCGTCTCTCTCTCAAATAAATAAATAAAATCTTTAAAAAATAAAAAAGAAATTCTAAAGCTAGTTTCACTAAGTGTCATAGATCATGTTTTATCATTTATTTACAAAGAAAAGCATGATAGTCTTTTTGTTCAAGGGAATGTTAGGATGGAGCCCAGCTCGTTTTTATAGTTAGTTATGAAGCACAGCTCAGCCATGGTTACAACCTTGCAGGGCCTAGAAGTGTGACTTCCCACCCTGGAAGTTGTTCTGCTTTAAGAAGTGGGAAGCCTTGCACTACAGCCAGTAGTTTGCTCCTGAAACTGAGTCCCTTTGAGGAGCTGAGCAGGTCCCTAACCATCGTCAGGGAAATTTGGGTAACTGAAGGTTCCTTGTAATTTGATTGCAGTTTCTCCCACCCCTTCAAATTGCCCCCATTCGTGGAGAGCTGACTGTATACTTTATGTATAATTTTAATATCATCCTTAAAGTCCGTGCTTTGAGACTGTCTTATAACTGAGATCTTTCTTACTTCAGAAATGATGTTACATGCAGAGAATCTGATATGGACATCAAGTTTTATATGAGTCACCTTAGACTACTTGTACCAGACTCTGAAGATAAACATATACATGTACTTGTTTTGTTTATATACTTTAGCAGTTTGATTATACTTAAACTTTCAGATGTTTCTATCTTCAGATGATATTTCAGCTCCATTTTAAAATGTGGAGTGGTATAAATGAAATTGGTAAATATTTAAATGAAGCACCAATTACAGGGCTCTAAGAACACTTGTGTGTGCTTTCTAAATTAGAGCATTGGTCAGCAAAATATTTTGATTAAATTAAGGGGTAATGTCAGCCTGTTTGTTGTTTTCCCTCCTCGGAGCTTAAGAAATACTCCTGAGAGTCATAATAGTGTGTCATTATAAATGATGACATCCTTTAGACTTCATTTGCTATTGGAACCTTCCTCACTGATCCTCTCGTGAGGGTACGTGCCTCTTCTCCATGTTCCCACACAACACTTTGCTTCTCACAGTTTTTGGGTTTTTTTAAGATTTTATTTATTCATTTGAGACACAGAGATACAGAGAGAGAGAGAGCATGAGCAGGGAGAGAGGCAGAGGGAGAGGGAGAGGCGGGCTCCCCGCTGAGCCAGGAGCCCGATGTGGGGCTCGATCCCAGGACCCCGGGATCACAACCTGAGCCAAAGGCAGACGCTTAACCATCTGAGCCACCCAGGCACCCCTGCTTCTCACCGTTTTTTAGTGCTTGCACATTTGTTCCTGTGTCAGCTGTGCTCACAGTGTGTCCCCAGCACCAGCACAGTACCTGGCACATCGTATGTGCTAAATATCTAAAGAAGTCAATTACTGTCATAATTATTAATGATGCTACTTCTGTTGAGCCCTTTCTGTGTTCCAAGCATGCTAAGCATTTTATGTGAACTCTCTGGTTTAATGTGCCAAAGTAGTCTTATCAGATAGATGTATTTGCTATCCCTGTTTCATAGATGAGGAAACTAATGTAGGTTAAGTAATTTACCCAAGATTCCATAAGACATGAAAAGCCAGAATTCAAACTTGTATTAAGCTGATTCCAAAGCTTGAGATTTTTTTCCAGCTTTATTGAGGTATAACTGACAAATAAATATATTTGAAGTGTATAACATAATGATTTGATATATGTATACATTGTGAAAGGATTCTCACTGAGTTAGCCCATCTGCCACTTTTAGATATTTACCTTTTTTGTTTGGTAAGAACACTTAGGTTCTACTCTCTTAGCAAATTGCAGTTACACAATATGCTATTTTAAGTATAGTCACCATGTCATACATTAGATCCTTAGACCTTATTCGTCTTCCACATAAGAGTTTGTACCCTTTTACCAGCCTCACGTAGGTCCCCACCCCAACCCGAGCCCCTGGCAACCAATCTACTCTGTTTCTATGAGTTTGACTTTTTTTTTTTTTAAGAGTGCACATATAAGTGATACTATGCAGTATCTGTCTTTCTCTGTCTGGCTTATTTCACTTAGCATAATGCTGTCTAGGTTCATCATGTTGCAAATGGCAGCATTCCCTTTTTTTAAGGCTGAATAATATTCTATTATATATGTAAATACCACATTTTCTTTATCCATTCTTTCACACTAAGACTGTTTCCATACCTTGGCTATTGTGAATAATGCTACATTAAACACAGGAGTACAGCTATCTCTTCAGCATAGTGATTTCATTTCCTTTGGATATATACTCAGAAATAGGATTGATGGATCATATGGTAGTGCTCTTTTAAATTTCTTGAGGAATCTCCATACTGTTTTCCATAGTAGCTATATGTACCAGTTTACATTCCCACCATCAGTGTATGAGAGATCCCTTTCCTCCACATCCTTACCAGCATTTATCTCTTAACTTTTTGGTAATAGTCATACAGTGTGTAAGGTGATATCTCATTGTGGTTTTGATTTGCATTTCCCTGATGATTAGTAATATTGAGCACCTTCCTGTACCTGTCGGCCCTTTGTCTGTCTTCTGTGGGAAGATGTCTGTTCGGGTCCTTTGCCCATTTTTTAACTGGGTAGCTTGGCTTTTTGATAATAGTTGTATGAGTTCCTTATATATTTTGGATATTGACCCCTTGTCAGATACGTGGTTTGCAAATATTTTCTGCCATTTCTTAGGTTGCCTTTGCATTTTGTTGGTGGTTCCCTTTACTGTACAGAAGCTTTTTACTTTGAGGTACTCCCACTTGTTTATTCCAACTTCCAGGAGCTTATCTCCTGTGTTTTCTTCCAGGAGTTTCAGGTCTTATGTTCAAGTCTTCAATCCATTTTGAGTTGATTTCTGTGTATGGTATAAGGTAGGGGTCCAATTTCATTCTTTTGCATGTGAATATCAAGTTTTCCCAACACCATTTAGTGAAGAGACTGTCCATCCTTTCTCCATTGTATATTCTTGGTTCCTTTGTCGAAAATTAATTCATTATATATGCATGGGTTTATATCTGGGTTCTCTGTTCTGTTCCATTTGGTCTGTGTATCTGTTTTTATACAATACCATACTGTTTTGATTACTATAACTTTTATTTAATTATAGTTAAAATCAGGAAGCTTGATGCCTCCAGCTTTGTTCTTTCTCAGGATTGCTTTGGAGTCTTTTGGGGTTCCATACAAATTTAAGAATTGTTCTAATTCTGTCAAATATGCCATTGGAATTTTGGTAGATATGAATTGGATCTGTAGATTGCTTTGGGTATTTTGAATATTTTACAGTATTAATTCTGTGTACAGATCTTTCACCTTGGTTAAATTTATTCCTAAATATTTTCTTGTTTTTTGATACTATTATAAATGGGATTGTTTTCTTAATTTCTCTTTCCAGTAGTTCGTTGTTAGTATCTAGAAATGCAACTGATTTTTCAATATTGAATTTGTATCCTGCAACTTCACTGAATCATTTATTAGTTCTAACAGTTTTTTTGTGAAGTCATTAGGGTTTTCTGTATAAAATGTTATGTCATTTGCAAACAGAGACAGTTTTACTTCTTTTTTATTTGGATACCTTTTTCTTCTGGCCTGATTGCTCTGGCTAGGACTCTCAATACTATATTGAATAAAAGTGGTTAGAGCAGACACACTTCCTGATCTTAGAGTAAAAGCTTTCAGCCATTTACAATTAAGTATGATGTTAGCTGTGGACTTGTCACACATGTCTGTGTTCCCCATATACCCAGTTTATTGAGACTTTTTATCATGAAAGAATATTGAATATTGTCCTTTCTTTTGCATTTATTGAGATTATCATATGATTTTTATCCTTCCTTTTTGTATTTCATTGATTGATTTGCATATGTTGAACCATCCTTGCATCCCAGGGATAAATCCCACTTGATCATGGTATATGATTCCTCTAACGTACTGTTGAATTCAGTTTGCTAAAATTTTACTGAGTATTTTTGCATCTATATTTGTCAGGGATGTTGGCCAATAATTTTCTTGTAGTTTCTTTGTCTGGCTTTGGTATCAGGGTAATATTGGCCTTATAAAATGAGTTTGGAAGTGTTCCCTCCTCTTCTATTTTTTTTGGAAGAGTTTGAGAAGGATTAATATTAATTCTTCTTTAAATGTTTGGTGGAACTCACCAGGGAAGCCATCTGGTCCTGGACTTTTTTTGTTGTTAAGAGGTTTTTGATTACTGTTTCAGTCTTCTTAGTCATTGGTCTGTTCAGATTTTCTATTTCTTCATGAGTCTGTCTTGGTAAGTTGCATGTTTCTAGGAATTTACTCATTTCTTCTAGGTTTTCTAATTTGTTGGTATGTAATTGTTCATAGTAGTTTCTTGTGATCCTTAGTGCTTCTATATTATCAGTTGTTATGTCTCTTTCATTTCTGTTTTTGAGTTTTTCTCTTTTTTTCTTAGTTTAGCTAAATGTTTGTCAATTTTCTTTTTCAAAAAACCAGCTCTTAGTTTCATTGATCTTCTCTATTATCTCTTTAGTCTCTGTTTCATGTGTTTCCTCTTTGATCTTTGTATTTTCTTCCTTCTGCTAACTTGGGTCTTAGATTGTTCTTCTTTTCCTAATTCTTAAAAGTGTAAAGTTAGGTTGTTATATTTGAGATTCTTTTTCCTTAATGTAGGTGTTTATCAGTATAAACTTTGCTCTGGCTTTTGCTGCATCCCGTAAGTTTTGGTATGTTGTGTTTCTGTTTTCATTTGTCTCAAGATAGGTTTTGATTTCCCTTTTGTTTTCATCTTTGACCCATGTCTTGTTTAGTAGCATGTTGTTAATCTCCACATACTTGTACATTTTCCAGTTTTCTTGTAATTGATTTCCAGTTTCATACCTTTGTGGTTAGAAAAGATGCCTGATATGATTTTAGTCTTCTTAAAAATATTAAGACTGTCTTGTGGCATAATATATGATCTATCCTGGAGAATATTTGGTGTGCACTTGAGAAGAATGTGTATTCCGCTGCCATTTGGTGGAATGGTCTATATACGTCAGTTAGGACCATTTGGTCTAATGTGTCGTTTAAGTGCAATGTTTCCTTATTGATTTTTGTCTGGATGACCTATCTATTGTTGACAATGGAGTATGGAAGTCCCTTGCTATTATTGTATTGTTTGCTATCTATTTTCTCCTTTCAAATCTGTTAACATTTGCTTTATGTATCTAGGTGCTCTGATGTTGGGTATATAAATCCTTCTATTTGTTATATCTTCTTAATGAATTGACCTCTTTATCATTATATGATGACCTTCTTTGTCTCTTATTGCAGTTTTTGGCTTAAAGCAGCTACCCCTGCTTTCTTTTAGTTTCCATTTTCATGGGATATGTTATCCATACTTTCACTCTGTCTGTGTGTGTCCTTAAAACTGAAGTGAGTCTCTTATACACAGTATATAGTTGGGTCTCGTTTTTTGTTTTTTGTTTTTTTTTTTTAATCCATTCAACTAACTTGTGTCTTTTGTAAATTTAGTCCATTTACATTTGAGGTAATTACTGAGAGGTCTGGACTTTTACTAGTGCTATTTTGTTCATTGTTTTCTGGTTATTTATAGTTCCTTTGTTCCTTTCTTTCTTCCTCTCGTCCTTTGTGATTTGATGATTTTCTATAGTAGCATGGTTTGATTTCTTTCTGTTTCTCTTTCGCGTCTCAATGATAGGTTTTTGCTTTGTGGATACCATGAGGCTTACATAAAACATGCAGAACTTGCATTCTTATTCATATGGCTAGATAGTTAGATGGATGAAGGGTCTGGTGGGGAAAGAAGATAACTTGGATCCAGTTTGATTAGTCAGAAGGAAACGTGAGGATCAGTCTTGCTACAAAGACAAGTAGGAAGCAAAACCAACTCAGGATCCCTGGAGCTATCCTTTACCAGGTACAGCCATTCCTGAAAGTGATTACTAGTGTTACTGGCAGCTTGCAGAAAGGGAGACCCTGACCACCTCAAAGTGAAAACTGACCCCAGCAATAGGAAAATTCTTATTACTAGGACCTTCACACAGGTGGTGTTTGCCAAACTTTTACACCCTGTGCCTGCTAAGAGTAGCACAATGATACAAGAAAGCAAACTAAAGGAAACTTGGTTGTAAAGGAGAATAAGAGATTATAATTAGATACTGAACAGCCTATGGTAATGCTGATTGGCTAAATTCATGAGATGTCATAGACATGTTTTCTCCCAAAGGTATTTATTATGTTAAAATATTTTTAGAAGAAAATTTGACAGATGTTGATCCTACTGTTTATCTTTTATCTTTAAAATTTCATAGATTTTTATCAAAGTTTTTTTCAGTGATTTCAAAATTTCCAGACTGAAGATTATATGTAAGATATAAGTTACTAGCTTATTTATGGAATTACAGGTTCTAATTAGAAAACAGTGTTGTGTTTATTAAATATAACTATGCCGGGACGCCTGGGTGGCTCAGTCGGTTAAGCGTCTGCCTTCGGCTCAGGTCATGATCCCAGGGTCCTGGGATCGAGTCCCACATC